TCCAGTTCTATAGCTATTAATTTATTATTTATTTGATACTACATTATTTTTATAAATTTACCTAAGGAGAAAGGACTTCCTTATGATTAAGACTGTTGCTATCCAGGAATAAGATATTCCTTACCAATGACTTAAGTGTGTCCTTTAAATAGTATTTTAAAATTTTCTTCACAGAGATCTTGCATGTTTTATTCTTAGATATTCTTGGATATCTTAGATATTCTATTCTTAGATAGTCTTAGGTTTATTCTTAGATATTTTATCTTTTCAGTTATTATTCTTGTTCATTTCTAAATTTAAACTCTTAGAAATGAATAATGTCTTTTAGCCAAACCCATACGAAAGAAGTTATTTTGAAGTTTTCAACTTAGCTGTATTTGAATTTTAGTGAATCCCAGTTCTCAAGAAATTTCAAAAGTTATTGGTGAGACAGACTTTCATTCTTAATTCTGTTTTCTGCAACAACTCTTTGTTATTGTGCAGCCTTTCCTTTCCCCCTGAGTCTTAGTTTCTTCATCTGTAAATTAAAGAATCTGGATCGGATCTTAGCTAAAGTCTGTCTTCCAGCTTTGCCTCTGTTGATTCTGATGCAGTTAGCTTCCTAGAGGATTCATATCTGCCCAGGAAAGCCCTCTTGATGCTAGGGCCTGTCTGACTCCAGACAGCCAAGGACTGTCTGAGCTTTGGACCTTAGTCCCTTGTGGCCAGGCTGGTGGCCCACCCTCAAAGGCCATGCTGGGAAGGAAGCTCATTGTCCACCCTCCAGAGCTATCCATTTGGTTGCATAGTTAAAGGCTTAGGGTCCTGGTTTGCGATTCCATGAAGTGTCCTAGTATCTCATTTGGCATCGTTTTTTCTTTCCATTCTCTCCAGATCCTTAGCCCTTAGGCTTACTACCCTCCCTCAGGCCATCCACGCAACTTCTATGCTGCCCTCACTGTCTCCTCCTTTCTTTCCCTCTCTGCCTCCTGTCCCTCCTCTAGCCCCTTATCCAGGTAAGGCAGTGGAGCCTCAGGGTAAAAGAACTACTAGCTTTACCATTACACAGGCCTGTGTTCTGATCCACTGTTGCCTCTCTTCAGCTGTGTGACCTTTGGTAAGATTTAGAGAGAATAAACTCCAAGTGCTAGCATGTGATTATTCCAGAAGGTATCAAAGTAAATCAGGTTGCCCAGTTGTAGTAGTAATAGGTGCATGAAGGCTGTGTGCTGGGCTCTTTGATGGGCGTTTTTATGTGACCCTGTGATTCCTCACAAACAGCCCCCATGGTCAGTAGGAAGAGTACCCCATTTTGCAAGTGGGGAAGACTGAAGCCCAGGGAGGAGGAGTGACCTGTGCACAGTCACACAGCTAATGAATGTCTGAGCTAGAATTCAGACTCACGTTTTAGTCATTTCAGGTTAATCTTCCTCTAAGGACTTGAACATTTTTCCCTCTGTTTTCATAAAGTGATCAGAAAAGTGAAAGCCTCTAGAAATAGGAGTTAAAATAGTCATTTTTCTGAGATCAGCACTGTTTTATAGATCTAAATGGTCTTCATCTGTGCTGTCCGGTGCAATTGCCACTACCTTCATGTGGCTTTTGAGCACCAAAGATGTGGCTAATAGGACTAAGGAGCTGAGTTTTAACTTAATTTGTTAATTTAAATGTAAAGAGCCACAGGTGGCTGGTGGCCGCCTTCGTGGACAGCACACTTGTAGATGAGGTGTTGCAGCTCAGCTCCTGAGCAGGTCATTTGGGAGTACTCTCCCTCCCCTTTCCTTCTCCCTCCCACTGCCCCTACCCCCCACAGTGGGTCTTGCTTTTGGATGGAGGATACTTTCTGAGTTTAATTTTTATTGCTTCTTTAATTCTAACAGTGTGAAGAGTGCCAGTGCTGGCAGCATGGGGTCTGCATGGGATTACTGGAAGAAAATGTGCCTGAGAAATACACCTGTTATGTTTGCCAAGACCCTCCAGGTAGAAATTTCTGGAGTCAGGGATATTAACAATATGTAACCTTTTCCACAGCTGGCCATGAAGCAGCCTCGCTGTCTGTGATCTTGAGACTTCTTTGACATTGGCTAGACTCTTCCTTGTCCCTGTTGCTAGCTCACCTGGTAGACTGCTATCCTGAACTTAGCAGTGAGAGAGCATATGGAAAGCCTGGCCTTGAGCTAGAATTACTTTTTTATTGTAGTAAAAATATAATATGAGATCTACCCTCTTAACAAATTTTTAAGTGTACAGTACGGTTTGTTTATAAACTATAAACACAATGTTGTACAGCAGATCTCTAGAACTTTTTCATCTTGCATGACTGAAACTATAAAAACTGGAATGCTTTACAGATTTGCATGTCATCCTTGCCTTGCTTAGGGGCCATGCCAGTCTTCTCTGTATTGAGCTAGTTTTAGAATATGTGCTGCTGGAGCAAGCACCTTTCCTTTTATTGAGAGTTCATGAAGATGTGGGCTCTGTCTTTGGCTTTTTGGGGCTGTTGAAGGGTTAGGAACCTGCCTCTGCTCGCTCTGGTGGCACCTGCCCTCCATTGCATCATTGCCACCTGGAAGAGAGATAAGCCCTTGAGGGGAAGGGGAAAGGTGTAGTTGATAGGGCTCAATTGCTACCCAAACCAGCGAATTAATTCCTTAACAGGATCATTTAGTTACATTGTTCCATGGCTGGCCTGTGGCTCTTGGGTTCCCTTTTCCAGAAGTCTTATATATCTGTGGTTCTTGTCTTGGTGTCAATGGGATGGTGATATCTTTTCCCTTCACCACCTGTAAGGTTTCTCCCCTTGGCTCCAGTTCCATGATCCCAAGGTTAGGCAAGACTAGACAATGCTTAAGTGCCTCTACTTCTGTTGATTCTTTTTGTCCTATGAGGTAGGCCTGGCGGGAGCTCCTATTCCTGTTTTGGCTTATGAGGAAGAAATTGATGCCCAGGGACATGAATGACTTTCCCAATCTCGTAAAGCAAATTGGAATTAGAACTGACTTGTGGGGTCAGATATTGATTTTGTTTGTTGTGTAGGGAGGGGCTAGTCACCGTAATTTGTGTTTTAGAAGTGTGTCCCCTTGGGACCTGATGACCTCTGTTGTGACACTGTATCTCCTTGTGCTAGATTAGTCCATAGATGGAGAGGAATCTGCCTGTTTGTCCCTTTATCCCCAGGAAAGAATATGGTCAGAAGATTAATCTGTGAATCATAGAATATTATTAATGGGCAGGATCTGAGAGACCACTTAGTTCAGCCCTCACATTTGATAGGTGAGCAAATACAGACCTAAAAGGGACATGACAGGGCTAAGACCAGTCAGCAAGTTAGTGCCAGATAGGAGATGAGAACCATGGTCTTTGACCTTTGTTTCGTAAAACAGGTGGTACTGCTCTGAATCCTGCTGCTCAGGCCACTTGTGCAGCAGCTGCCTCTGAGATGCTGCACGTAATCCTTAGGGCTCCTTAGCACCGCTTAAAAATCCCTTTTGTCCACTTTATTATCTCTCACTCCTCCCCTCCCTCCACTTTTCCCTTTTTACAAATCATGTACGCCATCTTCATTGACTCCTCTGCACTTGCTGAACTTTTACAACTCTAATTGCCAGTGCTGTAAATAGACTCCTCCTTGAATCAAGTGCTCCGTGTCTTTTACATTTATATTTGTAGCCTGTGTTTGACTCTGCAGTGTCTTGGACTGGAAGTTTAACCTAACAGACTTATTCTTTAAAGGTTACTTAAAGATGTTTTTTACAGAATCGAGGTATATCCCTACCATGTGTTTTAGTAAAGCTGGGAAGAGCCCAAGAAACTTGATAGGGATTGTATGGGTTATTTCAGGGTTTTTATAGATATTGGGAAGTAAATGCTTGTCTGGTTGAAAGTTGTTCCTTGGGGTTTTGGAGCAGGAAATACTACCGAGTCACATGTAGTTGTGTTTTCAGTTCTTCCTAAGGATTCCTGTAATGAGCAAGACCACTGAAACCATCCAATTCATCTGTCATTATACTAGATGAGAAATGGAGGTTCAGAGAAGGGAGGGTGCCTGACTATTTATATTTAGTAAGGTGGTAGGTGACAGTTGGAAGGGCGACTTGGAGCTTCTTTCTACTTGATAAATCCATTCAAGATGTCTTTTGCCATATGCTGGGGATACAACCATGAACAAATGGTTCCTATTATTCTTGCTCTTAGTGGAGTTAGGGCCAGAAACAGATGTCAAAATAAGTCCAGTAAGCAAGAAGATGTTAGATAGGGATGAATGCTTTGGCGGGGGAGGTTAGCAACCAGATAGGGAAGGAGTTAGGAGGCACTGAAGAGGCTTTCTTACTTTGAAGGTAACAAAAGGCCCGTCTGAGGAAGTGGAAAGGTGCCAGTCCTTCAGGGGCCTTGGAAAATAATGCTCCAGACAGAGAGGATGCTAGAGCAGAGATCCTAAGACCAAAAAGATGGATGTGTTCCAGAAACTGAAAGGAGGCCACTGTAAGGGCTGTAAGGGTGGGGCAAGGAGGGCAAGAAGGACTGGGTGCAGTTGGCTCATTAGGCCAGTGTTAGGGCTTTGGCTTTTTTTTTTTTTTTTTTCTGTATGCAGTAGGAAGTCATTGAAGGTTTTAAGCAGGAGATGTAATGATGTGATTTAAATTTAAAGAGATACCTAGGTTCCCACTCCACCTCTGGCCTGTTCTAGGAGATCAGGAAATTTACATGTCTTACTGCCTTATTCCCAATCCCTAGAAGGGAGCCCAGGATATAGTAGGTGCCAAGTAAATGTTTACTGGATGAATAAATAAAATGAACACACCAATGCATCCTTCCAGTAATTTATGTGATAACTGCAATGATACAATGGTCTGGGTTTCCTTCAGGCCGAGTATTAACTCTCTCATTGTCACTGCTTTAGGTCAGAGGCCTGGCTTCAAGTACTGGTATGACAAAGAGTGGTTGAGCAGGGGACATATGCATGGCCTGGCCTTTTTAGAAGAGAACTACTCCCACCAGAATGCCAAGAAGATTGTGGCCACCCACCAGCTTCTTGGAGATGTGCAGAGAGTGATCGAGGTTCTCCATGGCCTGCAGCTTAAGATGAGCATCTTGCAGTAAGTGTGGCACCTGTAGCTTTGGGGATGAGTCTGATTTGAGATGGTCTGGGTGTGGGGGGGGAGGCAGGATCAATTTGAGATTGGAAAGCCACAAAATCAGTGATAAGACCATCGAGTTTGAGACCTTTACTACATCTCAGCCTTTTGGCTAAGGTCAAGTGTAGTGTCTGTTCTTAGCAGTTTAATATCTGATATGTCCTGTATCCAAGGACAATATATTAAATGGATTTTGGAACTAGGAGATGGAATAGGAGCTTGCTCTGACCACTCCACACATTGACCTGGTATTGCAGTACTTCCAGGAATGGTGCACCCCCTCGGGGGTAGAGGGGAATATGTCAGTTACACAGTAAACGTTCTTTTTTAAAAAAACAACCCTATTCAGGTAGAATTTATATATAATTAAGTTTGCTCATTTTACAGGTTCATTGAGTTTTGACAGATGTATTCACCCTTGCAACCGCCACCATAATCAAAATATGGTGTATGTATGTATAGTTTAGTTTGTTTACTGTTTTGGTATACAGTTCTGAATTGTTTTTATTGTAAAATATGCATTATATAAAATTTATGTTTTATAAATTTATGAACAGTCTTAGCTTTTTATTTTTTATTTTATTTTATTATTTTTTTAAGATTTTGTTTATTTATTTGACAGATAGAGAGCACAAGTAGGCAGAGCGGCAGGCAGAGGGAGAGGGAGAAGCAGGCTCTCTGCTGAGCAGGGAGCCCGACATGGGCCTCGATCCTAGGACCGTGGGATCATGACCTGAGCTGAAGGCAGATGCTTAACTGACTGAGACACTCAGGCGCCCCCCCCTTAACTGTTTTTAATATATAGTTCAGTAGTGTTAAGTACATTCACCTTGTTGAAACCAATCTCCATAACTCTTCATCTTGCAAAATTGCAACTGTGTATCTGTTAAACAACTTCTCTCCTCTTTGCCTCTTCCCCTCCCCTGGCCACCACCATTCTAGGTGTTTCTGTGAATCTGACTACTCTAGATACCTCATATAAATGGGATCCCACAGTATTTTGTATTTGTATTTGTCTTTTTTGTGACTAGCTCATTTCACTTAGCACGGTGTCTTCAAAAGTTCATCTATATTATAGTCAGTATCAGAATTTCCTTCCTTTTTAAAGGCTGAATAATATTCCATTGTAGGTAATGTTGGATTTTGTTTATCCATTCATCCTTAACACCCCTGACTGGTAAATAAAGTAACATTGAAAACTGCTGGAAGAGATAATATTGGCAGGCCTGCTCTCTAGCCTAGTGGTTGCTCAGTAAGTCTTTTCTCTTCATGGTTTGCTCATGCAAAGTTTTAGGTGTTCTGGAACTGGACTTCTGGCTTTTAGTGGCTGGAAGTTTGAGGAGTGAAATTGAGTGTGAATTCCCCTTCTGTGGTTGCATTCTGTGTGTCAGATGACCCACGTTCATACAAGCTCTGAGAAAGACATGTAGCTCTTATTGGGGTCCCTTGGCTTTAATAACCAGACGGTGTTTCTTTCTTACTGAAATGCCACTGCTCCTGGCCTTATCCTATATTTTGGAACCTTGTCCCTTCTGAATTCCCATTTAGATCCTTCATCTTTATAGCAGTGACTTTGTACTGGAATTAAATTGACTTCTAGCAATTCAGAAGAGGGCATAGGGAGATCTTGTTCATCATTATATGTGGAGAAAAGATCCTGGGCGGAGGGAGTGTGGTCCCAGTATGTCTGTGTACACATAGATAGTCTCTGCTGTCACAAACTCTGGGGCCTCATTCTCAGAAATACTGTTCCTAAGTGGCCTGGCAGATTTATTTTCAAAGGCAAACAATAAACCTGGGAGTAACCTCAGAGCATCTATTGTCATTTAAAAAGTAGCATGCATGTCTGTACCTTCCTTCTTCATGATTGACAGGGTGTACAAAGAAAGGCCAGGGAGGGTTTTTGTGTGTGTGTGTGTGTGTGGAGTAGTAGCTGGGGCTTCAGGTCTTACCTGGAAGGGCAAAAATTCTAGGAAGGGGGAAGCAAAGACTTGTGATTTTCATGCAAGAGAAGGTCCGTACTGTGGCTTACATGCTCCAGTTAACAGATTTCAGACTGCAGTAAACCTGAACGTTAATGATGACTCTCATTTCCCCTGATGCAGTTATGATTTCAGAGGTGTGTCTGGCATCTTGGATTCCTGGGACAGGCTGTGATACCCTGCTGACACTGGTCCAGGGACCTAGGCTGCCTTGATACTCGTTTCCTGTCCTTCTCCAGTGAATAGGAGGGGTTTTGGTGATTGTGGGAGGTAGAGCTGAGAAAGGATACTTGTAGCCCCTTGGGAACATAATTTTAGGTTCTGTAGAATCACTCCATGCTTTCATATGTATGGCCTATTCCATTTGTGCAGGAATTCAGCCAAGTGTGTGTGGAGGGGTACCCATATATGGGAGTTGCTGGGGAGTTAAGCTGTGCTTTCCTGCTTATCTGGTTTCAGTGTTTTTCCACTGGGGGCTGGGAAAGTACTGTTGACTATATCGTGGGATGATTCTTTATCCCAATCATGTGTGATTGTTCCAAGCATTATAGGATGTTAGGCATCCTTGGATTCAGTGAACTAAATGCCAGTAGTACCTGTCAGTCATTGTGGCAGTTAGAAAGGTCATGCAACACATTTCTGCCCATCTCTGAACCAGATGTGAGTAGCACCTGTCTGTTTATTTCCAAACGCCCCCCTAGAGGGCACTGCCCCCCCAGCTGGGATCTCTGGTAACCATGGGCCTTACTCCAGAAGCCCACTGTTTTTTTCCTTCCCTCCCTCCCTTTTTTCCTTCTTTTCATTTAATGATCAAAGGTAATAGTGGAAGTTCTGGGTAGTAAAGAAGAGTTAAAAGGTGAAGTTCATCTAGAGTAGTGGCTTTTAAACTTAATAAAATTTTTATTCCACAGTAAGAAATATGTTTTATGTTTCTCACATATATAAAACTGAAACTAAAATTTCACAGAACACCTACTGTTACTTAGAATGGTACATTATGATATTTTCTATTCTGTTTTCCTTTCTATAGTTGATTATGCCGCTCGCTTCGGCAGCACTTAGACTAAAATTGGAACGATGCAGAGTAGGTTAGCATGGGTCTTGCTCAAGGATGACACGCAAATTTGTGGAGCATTACAATTGATTATTATCCAGTAGATTAATTTAATGATCCTCCATTGGGTCAAAACTCAAACAGGGAATGATTCTGGGAGACTAAAGTACTAACACAGAGTTTTATGTGCACATATGTGCAGGCAGAGCTTTCAACAGATTCTCAAAGGAAAGGAGTCTGTGGCTCAAAAAAGGATTAGAATCCCTGTTCTTTAGTAACAAAGTTTTCTCCTTGGAATGGTGAGAGTAAAAGATTTTAGAAGAATTTTTTAAAAAATTACTAATGGCTTATACGTAGATGACTTTGATTCCTGCCCCCTCGACCCATTGTCATTGTATTTTTTAAAAGATTTTATTCATTAGAGGGAGAGAGAGAGAGAGAGAGAGAGAGAGAACGAGGAGGGGGAGGGGCAGAAGGAGAGGGACAAGCAGACTCAATGCTGGACTCGGGGATCATGACCTGAGCCAAAATCAGACACTTAACCGACTGAGCCATCCAGGTGCCCCCATCATTGCATTTTGTAACTGAAAGCTATTGCATGCCAGGATTATCATGCCGGCTTATTAGGTTATTTTTAGTAACTCACATTTGAAGAGTACTTTGCTGCCAACAAAGTACTTTATTTGAATTAATTCACTTAATCTTTATCAAACTCATTGGCTAATGGCAGACAGATGGTTAGCCCAGTTTTGCAGAGGAGGGAATGGGAATGAGTCTGGCTGAGTGACTCATTATAGCTGTTCTACTAATCAGTGGCTGAATTGAAATGCAGTCAGGTCTTGTGACTCCAAGTCCAGTCTCCCTCACCATGCGTGTTCGCAGTGGGAGCTTGCCTACAGGTGGTCTCCTCAGAGACCGTGGATTCATGTTCCCTTTTGCTTGGTAAATGGTGGCTTGTAGCCAGATGGCCCAAGTGGGGAGCTCCTCTTCCTTTTGGGAGAATGGGAATTGAGACACCCCTGCAGTGGTCCCAGTTACTCCAAAGCCCTTTGTATGTTTGCCCTCCCAACAGAAGCAGGGAGCATCCTGATCTGCAGCTGTGGTGTCAGCCTTGGAAACAGCACTCAGGGGAGGGGAGATCTCATTTGAAACACATCCACGTCACTGAAGCCAAGAGCAAAGAGGAAGTCCCAAGTTATAGAACTTTGAACGGGGCGGTGGAGAAGCCCTTGCCCCTGCCCCTACCCCGGTCTGTGGAGGAGTCCTATATCACCAGCGAGCACTGCTATCAGAAGCCCCGCGCCTATTACCCTGCTGTGGAGCAGAAGCTGGTGGTGGAGACCCGGGGCTCTGCCCTTGACGATGCGGTCAACCCCCTCCATGAGAACGGTGATGGTTCTCTCTCTCCACGTCTGGGCTGGCCTCTAGACCAAGACAGGAGTAGGGGGGACAGTGACTCCAAATCTAGCTCCCTAAAGGTATGTGGCTCACCTGTACTTGTTCTTCACTTAGTGTTTGAGTGCTTGGGCTCTCCCTGTAGGGTTCTGTGGAAGACGTTTATTATAAAGTTGTACTTACTGTAAAATTGTATTTAAAGGTGCTTATCATAGGTATTTTTTGGTGGGTTAAAATGGGTGCAAAGTCAGGAGAGCCCGATTAAACCAGAAATCCTGGTTACAGGAAATGCCCACAAAATGACAGTCACTGGGGGGGGGGAGGTGGGAAGAAGTGAGGAGAAAAGTGGTGATTGGCACTTGATAAATGGAAGTTAAGTTGGAAATGGGTTTTTTCTTTAACAGGGTTCATGTTGTAATTGCACCTAGCTGCTAATTCTTAGCATGAGCAAAGAATGAGTGAGGCGTTTTGTTAGGCATAAGGTTTTCAGTACAAATCTGTGATAGCTTTACTTTGACTTTTAACTTTGCAGCCCTGATAGAACAGTCCATTTTGTCAGAATATTTGCTGGTTATCAGCTTTCCCAAGAACAGCTCTCAATTTTTTGTTATTCAAATCATGCTCTTCTAGAGCCTCTTTGTGTCATTTTCCTGCCAGTGTTGTCATCTTTAATGTTCACTGGTGTCATTCTGTCCTGTCCTCAGTTGGTCAGTGAGGCTTTGTGTAACTGGAGAGTTTCTCCACCCTGGTTATCCTTCCTTTCAAACTTTACTCCGTGGTTGGCATCACCAGCATTAGATATGTTACTGCATATTGCCGGGTGGGACAGCCTAGATTATAAGCCCCTCATGGATGGGCATTGTGCCCTTGCCAGTGTCTAAACAGTGCTAGTCAAGGTTGGTGAGGTTGGTTTTGGAGACACACCCAGTTTCAAGTCTGGGCTTAGCCACTTACTGTGTGATGCTGAGCACTTTATCTCCTTAGATGTGT